TCCTAACCGCTCGCCTGCCTGCCTGATCACCCCTAACCACCTCTGCCTGCCTGATCACAACTAACCACCTCTGCCTGCCAGCCTGATTGCCCCTAACTGCTCCCCTGCTGGCCTGATCACCCCTAGCCACCTCTGCCTCAGCCCCGCTCCCAGGACCCAGGATTCCCTGTTCCAGCCGGCCAGAGGCACCGAGGACCCAGGCCAGCTGCAGCCACAGGGGACAGTGGGCAGGTGGCTTCACCCAGGCAACAGGCACAGGCCGCCCAGGACCATGGCGGGGGGTGGGGGGCGGCAGCTTCTCTGGCTGGCTGCAGCCTGGGACCACAGGGTGGGTGGCTTCTCCATCTCCTGGGCCACAGGCGCTGGTGCCCGGGACTGCGGGGTGGGCAGCTTCTCCATCTCCCAGGCCCCAGCCAGCCACAGGCACTAGCACCCAGGACCACCGGCGGGCGGCTTCACCCAGGCCTAGCTTTGTCAGGAAGGACGTCCAGAGGGTCGTCCAGAAGACCCCTGATCTAATTAGCATATTACCCTTTTATTAGTATAGTTTGTATATGAGGCCCCTAGAACTATAAGAAATGCATAAAATTCACTGTTAATAGCTCATTCTCGAATTGGCCCCTTAAAAATCAAATTGGGCCCTGGCTGGTTTGGCTCAGTGGATAGAGCGTTGGCCTGCAGACTGAAGGGTCCCGGGTTCAATTCCGATCAAGGGCACATGCCCTGGTCGCAGACTCAATCCCCACTAGGGGGCATGCAAAAGGCGGCCGATCCATGATTCTCTCTCATCAACGATGTTTCTATCTCTCTCCCTCTCACTTCCTCTCTAAAATCAATAAAACTATATTTCCAAAAAAAAAAATCAAATTGGCCCGGCTGGCGTGGCTCTGTGGTGAGCGTCGACCTATTAACCAGGAGTTCAGGGTTCAACTCCTGGTCTGGGCACATGTCTGGGTAGTTGGCTCAATCCCCAGTGTGGGGCATACAGGAGGCAGCAACTAATGATTCTCTCTCATCATTAATTTCTCCCCCACGCCTGAAGTCAATAAAATATATCTTTAAAGAAAAATCAAACTGCCCCCTGTGGGCGTGCACCCCACGTCGGGAACCACTGTTCTAAGCTCTTTTCCCTTCAAAGTTCTTTCTCGTGGTCCCTACAATGAGGGGTACTGCACCACAGAGTGGAGAAGTTGTAACTGGAGACTCATCTACTGGAAGTTCCTCAGCAGTGAGTGTTATTATACCTTTAGGTTTCTCTTCAACTTCATATCTTTCTCAAGGGGCTCCACAGCACTACCCTCCGCTAACGGCAGGATGATGGCAATTTCATCTGCTGACTGAGCAGGAGGAGCTGATCTCCAAGCGTGACATATTCTTATTTTTCTTCTGAACTTTATTTTTATTGTTGATGCGGTTACAGATGTCCCCATTTCTCCCCACCTTTGCCCACCTCCACCCAAGCTCCACATATTTTTCTTTTGAATCCTCACCCCAGGAAAGGCTTTTATTGATTGTGAGGGATATAGAAACACTGATGTGACGGAGAAACGTTCGGTTGTGTCCCCTACTTGCCCAACGGGGGATTGAACCTGCCACTTGGAATGTGCTGACTGGGGATCGAGCCCACAATCTTGGGGTCCGGGACAGTGCTCCAACCAACTGCACCACCGACTCAGGGCTACACATGTTCTTAAGGAACAGCCAGTACCACCCGATTTGTGACATCGGCCAATCCGGATGTCGTGTTTCTGTCTCTTTGCACAGCCACAATGCTTTTATTTCTTGTGGCACAGAAATGGTCTCCGAATGAATTCTTGTTATTTCAGCACTTTTCACAAAATACAACACTTAGACCTGGCACCACCGTACCATCCCTCCAGAGATCGCCAGTCTAGGGTCCCAGCCGCAGAGACTGGGCTATTTTTATATCAAAATAAGAAAGACCTAACCACAAGAATAGGAGTCTGTCTGTTACCACACCACACACGAAACAGCTGGCTAGATCAGCACCAATTTCACAGGCGCAAAAAACGAACATGAGAGGGAGCTAACAAAATTTGCTGGTGAAACTCAAGTACAGAGAGAGATTCCTCTGACAGCTAATTAGGAGACAGTGAACTCCGGGATAGAGACACAAAGAGTGAGCGAAAAAATGCCAACACTCACTAACCTCACAGAAAAGGAGAAACTGGACAGGAAAGAAAAAATAAACATGTTCACTGTGTGGTTCAGATGTAAATAAGAATCACACACTCGTCCGGCTGGAGTGGCTCAGTGGTTGAGCGTGGGCCTATGAACCAAGAGGTCACGGTTCGATTGCCAGTCAGGGTACATACCTGGGGTTGCAGGCTCTATCCCCAGTAGGGGGCGTGCAGGAGGCAGCCGATCAATGATTCTCTCTCATAAAAATATATTTTTAAAAAAGAGTCCCTTGCCGGAACCGGTTTGGCTCAGTGGATAGAGCGTTGGCTTGCGGACTGAAAGGGCCCCGGTTCGATTCCGGTCAAGGGCATGTACCTGGGTTGCAGGCACATCCCCAGTGGGAGATGTGCAGGAGGCAGCTGATCGATGTTTCTCTCTCATCGATGTTTCTAACTCTCTGTCTCTCCCTTCCTCTCTGTAAAAAATCAATAAAATATATTTTAAAAAAAAAGAATCACACACTGAATCATTTGAATACTAAATGTTAATCTAGTCAAAATTATGTTAATGTGCTAGGACTTCCTCTTCCAGAGTAAGAGGTCAGAAGATAATATCTAAAACTGAAAAGCCAAGAAATTGAGGTACCAACTTGTTATTGAGAGCCTTGGAGATTAAGGAACAGAAGAAACAGCGAAATGAATTTGAAAGCAGTTGCCTGTGGGGGGTAGGAACTGGGGAAAAGGGGAAGAGGGAACAGGGGACTGATGAATCTCACTGTTCCGTTTATTATTTGAATTTTAAACCATATACAGCGTGGCCGGCGTGGCTCAGTGTTTGAGTGTTAACCTATGAACCAGGAGGTCAGGGTTCGATTCCCAGTCAGGGCACATGGCCGGGTTGTGGGCTCCATCCTCAGTGTAGGGGTGTGCAGGAGGCAGCCGATCGGTGATTCTCTCTCATCACTGACGTTTCTGTCTCTCTCTCCCTCTCCCTTTTTCTCTGAAATCAATAAAAAGTATATTTAAACCATATACAGTTGACCCTTGAACAACATGGAAGTTAACTGCACAGGTCAACTTCTATGCAGATTTTTAAAAAGAAATAACTGTATTGTTTTTGAACTGCGGTTGGGAGTCCATGGATGAGAAGAGCTAACTGTATGCACTGATCTATGCCATCTTATATAAGGGACTTGAGCATCCTCAGATTTTGGTACCTGCTGGGGTGCTGGAACCAGTCCCCCAAACATACTAAGGGACAATTAAGTTTTGGGGAGTAAAAAAATTATACAAAATAAAAAATGGGGGAAAAATTTACACACACATTTTCAACTGTGCAGAGGACTGGCACCCCCAATCCCGGTGTTATTCAAAGTCAAGTGTACTTCTAACAAGAGAAAAGAAAATCATTTAAGGAGATGCCTGGGCAGAGAAAACATTTCAATATTAGGCTGTGTTATAAGCCACAAACAGCCATCCCTGACCCAGGGCTTCTCAGTGGTGACTCGCAGTCCCATCCGATGGGGATTCACCTGGTGGGCACCCAGCGAGAATGAGAACAGGGGACCTTATCTAGTTCCAGGGCCCTCGGCATCTTGCCTTCGAAAATAAAGGGCACTGCTCAGAGGCGTGTGTCTGAGAATAGAGGGCTCACAGCAAAGCCACACAGGACCATCTGAACAGGTCACCTGGGACACAGGCACTGTCCCACGAGACATCTCAGGGGTGACACACGTGTGCAGTGCCCATTCACGCGGACTGGGTTGACACAGATGCGATTAGAGGTCACACTGAATGAAACAAATTTCAAGGGGCCTCCCGTCTCCCTGTGCTCATTAAATCAACCCACTGTCCATTCACAGGCTATTCTTAAGCAGCGACTTCTACCAAGCCAGGTGCTACACAGGAGCTGGCCCATCACGTCCCCTACAAAAGTCCCCTTGTCCACCTGTCCTTTCTTTCTTTTTAAAAAAAAATGTGGCCGAGCCGAAGCCAGTTTGGCTCGGTGGATAGAGCGTCGGCCTGCGGACTGAAGGGTCCCCGGTTCGATTCCGGTCAGGGGCATGTGCCTGGGTTGCGGGCACTTCCCCAGTGGGGGATGTGCAGGAGGTGGCTGATCGGTGTTTCTCTCTCATCGATGTTTCTGGCTTTCTGTCTCTCTCCCTTCCTCTCTGTGAAAAATCAATAAAATATATTAAAAAAAAAAAAAAAGATGTGCAAAGACATTCACTCCTGTGTCTTCACATCAGTTGTTTTACAAACCAAAAAAAAAGAGAGGAAGGGAGAGAGATAGAGAGTTAGAAACATCAATGAGAGAGAAACATCGATCAGCCGCCTCCTGCACATCTCCCACTGGGGATGTGCCCACAACCCAGGTACATGCCCTTGACCGGAATCGAACCTGGGACCCTTCAGTTCTCAGGCCGACGCTCTATCCACTGAGCCAAACCGGTTTCGGCTTTATGTGTACGTTTTTATTGATTTCAGAGACAGGGAGAGGGACAGAGAGAAAAACATCAATGAGGAGAGATAATTATCAATCAGCTGCTTCCTGCACGCCCCCCCTTCTGGGGATCGAGCCCGCAACCTGGGAATCGAACCATGATTTCCTGGTTCATAGGTCAACGCTCAACCACTGAGCACAGTGAGACCCACCTGCTCTTTCTAAGCCCACTGCTCTCTTGTCTGTCTGAGGGGTGTCTACAGAGGCATAAAGTATGGGCCTCCAACCCCAGACTCCCTGGGCGCAGGGTTCCTGCCAGTCCTTGTGGACTTGGGATTTGAGGTCCCGCACTGGCTTGGGGCACCCAGGCTGCCAGCTGCCTGGACTGTGGATCTGAGCTGCGGAGACTGACTTACTCCGAGACATGTGGACCGTGGCGAGCCGGCGGTACAGGGCCTTCTGCCGGGGGTCTGGGTGGAAGCCACTCTTGGTGAAGTAGACGTGGATGTAGATGGAGCCATTCTGCTGAACGCTCTGCAAGGCGGGCCAACAGAAAGAAGGAAATGCTGAAGCCCCTCATGAGAGATGCCCCCAGCAGCTTCCCCACTCCCCAGTTCTCTGGCCAGGCAAGCAGTGTAGCTAAGTGGTTAAGAGCAAAACACTGGAGCCAGAGAGACTCGGATTCAAATCCTGGCTCTTGCACTTCCCCACGCTGAGCCTCTGTGCCCACCGCAGGGTACAGGTCCTGAGAGCTGAGGGCACAGCAGTGCAGTCGGGATTATCCAGAGCACCTAGCATGTCACTCAGGCACGAAGTAGGAGCTCAGTAAATGACCTTAATTCATTCAACAATAAAACCTGGGAGGGGATAGGAGGGGGAGCACCAGACCCTGCTCTGGGTACTCCAAATGGTAACTGCCTAATCCACGGGTTCCCATTCCTGCAACACACAGAGACCTATTGCAGTGGCCGTGTTATTATACCCGTTTTCCAGAAGAGCCAACTAGGGCTCACACAGAGAACTTACATAATGTGCAGTGAATGGATCTGAACCGTCTGTGGGCTCCTGTGCGGCTCTGCCTCTCACCATCTGCGTCCCACCTCTCTGCCCGTACCTTTGTCCTTCCAGCTCTCAGGCGGGAGCATTATGCTCACTCCCACCACGCACAGAGAACACTGAAGAGGGGTGGCCGCCTGCTAGGGCACATCTGAGCCCTCTCTGATGTTCGTGCAGAGCTGGAGTCCCTTGGCCACACTGCATCCTCCTTGCTTCCCTGCCTTTGAAGTCCACCTCCGTGTTCATCATGCTTCTTTGTCTTTTATACTGTTTTAACATCTTGGAGGACTTAGCTAGCTGGGTAGAGACTGCCACAATAGGATCACTAGCTGATGCCTACAGATAATAAAAAACTCCCCTGCCCAGGGACAGGCCTTTTATATGCAAACCAACCAATCCCAAATCCACAACCCCACCCAGCCCTTCTAGCTGCTTCCCTACCCTGCCTAGTCTTTCCGGAGGAAACCCCAGTGAAGACTCTGGCCTAGGCTTCCCCTCTCGCTCTTTCTGCTCCTGCACAAACTCGGTGCTTCCCCATGTGGCCCAGTGTTACATGGTGCGCTACACCCCCCCCCCAACCCCCCCGGGAAACGTAATTAATTCTTCTTTCAATGGCACTGGCCTCTCCGTGTCATCACTCAGTCAGCGCCATAAATTAAAATCAGGAGCAACTGAGAAACCCTCCCACCTCAAACCTGGTCAGATCCAAGTCCTTGGGGGTGGCTTTTGCTGCCCAGCTTGCTGCCCCTCAGGCTAGCGGGGACCTCGGGAGGGAGGGGCTTGGGTCCTGGGCAGGAGTCTGGTGGAAGCCATCCCTCAGCACAGGTTAGCCTATTGGCCTCAGAAAGACTGTGTCCACACCCTGTGTCCAGCCACCCCCACAGACCAAGACAGAGACAGAACAGACCCCCCCCCTTCCCCCTCAGGAGGCCAAGGAGACCTCCTAAAGGGAAATGAATGAGTGTGCAGCCCAAGGAGATGTCAACATCATTAATGCAGCAAATTCACTGATTGTTCAACATTCTGCACCCAGCCCCATGCTGAAGAGAGCTGGGGCACGGTGGTTGGCAAGACAGTCCCAGCCTTACCCTCTTAGGGCTCACAGTCCCATGATGAGGAGGGAGAGACCCATGTCCAGGAAGTGACAACCCCCAGCGTGGGCAGGGCTTGGGTGGGAGAGCCCAGAGAGGGCAGCTGCCAGAGCCTGAGAGTCAGGAAGGGCTTCTTAGGGGAGGCAGGATTTGAACATGGGGCTGCCCAAGTCCAGAGCCAGATACCCTGAGTTCAAATCTCTCACTAGCTGTGTGACCTTAGGTAAGTCACTTAAGCTCTCTGCACCTCAAGGTCCTCATCACTGGAGAGAATAGTTCCCACTTTATAGGGTTACTGGGAGGTTTACACCAGTTGGTCTAGCTTGGTGCCCTGCACAGAGTAAGTGCTTAATCACTGTTAATTGTTATTTTCAAAGTAGAGGCCCAGTGCATGAATTCATGCACTGGGGGAAGAGAGGTTGGGGGGCGTCCCTCAGTCTGACTTGTGTCCTCTCACAGTCTGCAGTCTGCAGTCCGGGAGCCCTCGGGGGATGTCCTGGAGGGGAGCAGGCCTAAGACACAGTTGGATATCCTTAGCGCTGCCACGCTCACCAGTGTCAGCCCAGCCTGTGGCTGAGCAGTACTCCCCCCTGTGGAGCACACTGACCACTAGGGGGCAGCTCCTGTGTTGAGCATCTGCCCTCTGGTGGTCAGTGCACGTCATAGCGACAGGTCATTCTGCCGGTCGGTCAATTTGCATATTACCCTTTTATTATATAGGATTACTATATAGGAAGGATTGGGCTGCCTGACAAACTAGTGATGACTGGACACCCCCAAGGACAATTACTAATATTTCACTGGTTAAAACCACAGAAATACATGATCCTAGGCCAATTCCAACTCCATCCACATGGAGATGTGGGAGGCCATGGCCCAGAGACTTCAGGAACCTGCCTGTGGCCACGAAGCATGTGAACTGAGGGTACAGCCAGGCATGGAGCCTAATCTTCAGATCGCAGTTGGTTCAAGGAAAGACCCTTCCATGCAAGGTGAGCAGCCTGGGGCCAGAGATCAGGAGCCGTCCCCACCTGTGGAATGTCGAGCTCAGCAAAGTGCTCATAGCAGCCATCTGAGTTCTCGCCGCTAGTCCAGTCGCCGTACACAAGGTCGTGCTGCTCCCAGAAGAGTGCTGACGTGGCGTTGAAGTCTGTAAAGTGCTCGTGCTCTGAGATGTACACGTGCAGGTTCTGTTGGGAGGAGAAGTAGAGAGCTTAGGGTTCCTCATTGAGAGCCTCTGAGGTTGACAGATGGAGAACTGTGGCAGTGGTCAGCCTACTAATATGAATAACTTTGTTGGGTGAAGGAAAAGGGGAGTTCGTGGAGAGAAGAGTAGCAGCTAATAGAATAAATTTTCTCTTTTCTCATACCCCACCACATCTGTCCCGGTCTGAGTCTGTGATGTCTACGAGCAAAAAAACAATTAAAGAATAGCCAGCCTCGCCTGGATGGCGTAGCTCAGTGGCTGAGCGTTGACCTATGAACCAGGAGGTCACAGTTCCATTCCCAGTCAGGGCACATGCCCAGGTTGCGGGCTCGATGCCCAGGTTGTGGGCTCGATCCCGTGTGGGGTGTGTAGGAGGCAGCCGATTGACCGATATTTCTCCCTCTCATTCCCTCTCCCTTCCTCTCTGAAATGAATAAAAATATATTAAAAGAAAAAAGAGAATGGCCAGACTAGCAATTAGAATTTAGGGTTATAAAGGATCAAGACCTCCCTGAATTATCTTCTCCCTTCTCGGCCTCTTATGACTTTCCTGGTCAGAGCTCTGCAGGCTTATGGATAAAGCACGGTCAAGATCTGCAGGAACATCAGCCTCTCCCGAGAATACGGGAAGCCATGCCTCCAAGAGCTCCCTCCTTTCTCAAGTCCCGTGGCCATCTTTGTCCAGCGCCCTGAAGGCCCACTGCCCCGCTAACTAGAATTCTGGGAAACTGAAAACATCGATGTGAGAGAGACACATCGACTGGTTGCCTCCCACATGGGCCCCGACCGGGCCGGGGATTGAGCCTACAACTGAGGTACATGCCCTTGACCAGAATCGAACCCAGGACCCTTCGATCTGCAGGCTGACACTCTGTCCACTGAGCCAAACCGGCTTGGGCTCCCTTTGCCACTTTTAAAGCCTGACCTTTCAAAAGCCTGACCATACTTTTGAAACAAAATACATTAAGATAGTTTTTAAACAACTGAGTGACTCCTTGGATGTTCCTCTTCCCCCAAGCTAGAACCCCCACAAAACCAAAAGAATTTACTTTTCCCTTACTGGTGTCGCTGGAGTGACAGGTTTTATGTGTTGTGGATAGACCCCGAGTTCCTCAGCTCCGAACCCATTCATAGACCTGACAGTTACCAGAAACCAGATCGCGGCCCATGTCACTCCCCCACACCCTCCCTGGCGCTCTCATCTCCCCTGTCTGGCCTCCCAGCCAGCAGTTACCATTAAAGTGTCTTTGGGGAACAGGTTGCGGCTGGCGACGCGCGGGGCTCCTCCGGGGCCCACTTGGTCCTGAGGGGCCTGCCCTCGGCGGAACCAGCTGCTGATGGCCCAGATGATGAAGATCCTGAGGAGGGAAGAGGGCAGGTGATGAGTCCCCAAGCCTTTTCCTTCCGACGTGGGTCCTCCTGACCTTCTGACTCGCACCTGCTGGGGCCTGACCTGGGGCTGGTGGCCAAGGGTGGAGGGTGCCTGAGAAGGCAGTCACAGGGCTGGTGAGAGATAAGATGCCCTCAAAGGCCACGTCTGGGGAAAGACCCCAGGTGCCACTGTCTGCTAGGGTGAGGGGCCTGGCACTGCCCTGGGCTCCATGCAGACCCCCCTCACCAAGTCCTCCAGAAGCTCCTGGTGACCACAGGACACAGGAGCTGGGACCCTTGAAACCTCAGACCTAGAAAACATTCATGTCCCAGTCCACTGTGAGACATCCCAAAGTGAGACGACCCAAAGAACCTGTGCTAGCCCAGTGTTTCACAAGCACAGAACCTTAGAAAGCAACATAAGCAACATTTCAGAAACCTCAACTGAAAACTGGGAGGCAGATAGTAAGTAATAAGTTAGTTCTGATTTTGTTGTTGTTAATCCTCAACAGAGGATATTTTTTCCATTTCTTTTTAGAGAGAGTGGAAGGGAGTGACGAAGGAGAGAGAGAAAAATATAGATATGAGAGCCCTGGCTGGTTTGGCTCAGTGGATAGAGCGTTGGCCTGGGACTGAAGGTTCTCCGGTCAAGGGCACATGCCTGGGTTGCAGGCTCGATCCCCAGTAGGGGGCGTGCAGGAGGCAGCCGATCAATGATTCTCTCTCATCATTGATGTTTCTATCTCTCTCTCCCTCTCCTTTCCTCTCTGAAATCAATAAAAATATATTAAAAAAAAAAAAAGAATCACTAATCCTGAGAATGAGTTGCATATTCTTAAAGTAATGTGACCAGGAGTTCCTGCAGCTACATTTAAAAATATAGATATAGATATAGACATATATAGATACAGATATAGAGAGATATATATATAGATACAAAAATATCTATCTACATATAGAGATATAGATATAGATGTAGATGTAGATATAAAGATATCTACCTATATATATAGATATAGATATAAATATAGATATAGATATAGAGATATGAGAGAGACACATTGACTGGTTGCCTCCTGCACCTACCCGACCAGGGGTGGTCTGACACTCCTGCCAGGGCAGTCCTGAATTTTAGTAGCAATGGACTAGTTTATTCAGACCAACTCTCCTACTGGAAACAACTAGGAAAAGCTTGATAAGAATGAATACACAGCCCTAGCTGGTTTGGCTCAGTGGATAGAGCATTGGCCCGCAGACTGAAGGGTCCCAGGTTTGATTCTGGTCAGGGCATGTGTGTGAGGCAACCAATCGATGTGTTGCTCTCTCATCGATAATTCTCTCTGTCTCTCCCTCTCTCTTCCACTCTCTCTAAAAATCAATGGGAAAATATCCTCGGGTGAGCATCAATATGAATCAGTGTGTGAAAGGATTGTGTCAATACAGTAATGATGACAATGGTGATCTTAGGGGATTATGCTTTTCTTTTTGAATTTTTTTCTAATGAACAAAATAAAAGCCCTAAAACAAAACTACACCAGATAGATAGTTGTTTCCCAATATCCATCTTCCCCTTCTTCCTTGGTAAGCAAACTAAGTTTTAGTGGGACCCCTTGGCCACCCAGAAAAGAGACAATTCCAACCTTACTTACAGCTGGGTAAAGATACAAGGTAAAGCTCTGGTCAATAAAATGAAAAAACAACGTGCTATGTTGAGTTTTTGGAAAGTCCTTAAAGAGAAAGACCATCCCTCCTTGATCTCATCTCCCCGCTGGAACGTGGATGTGGTGACTGGATCTTCAGCAGCTGTCTTAGGCCCTATATAGCAGAGGGCAAACCTAGCAATGGTGGGTCAAAATTCAGGGAGGAGCCCAAGGGTCCCTGGGACTCAAGGGTCCCACGTTTGATTCCGGTCAAGGGCATGTACCTTGGTTGCAGGCACAGGAGTGCGCAGGAGGCAGCTGATCGATGTTACTCTCTCATCGATGTTTCTAACTCTCTGACCAGCCCAGTTGGTGTGGCTCAGTGGCTGAGCGACAACCTATGAGCACCCATGAGCCGGAGGTCGCAGTTCCATTCTGGTTGGGGCACATGCCCAGGTTGTGGGCTCCATCCCCAGTAATGGGTGTGCAGGAGGCAGCTGATCAACTATTTTCTCTCATCATTGATGTTTCTATCTCTCTCGCTCCCCCTTCTCCCTTCCTCTCTGAAATCAATAAAAACATTTTTTTAAAAAGCAAAAAGCTATACAGCAGAGGGGCTACGTGCTCAGCCTCTAAGCTTCAATACCTGGATCTGAAGCCCAACTCTGCCTCTTACTGACTGTGTGACCTCGAACAAGATTCTTGGCCTCTCTAGGCCTGTTTCCTCCACTATTAACGTGGGGCTGACACTGCCTACCTTGTAGGGTTGTTTGTAAGCATTAAATACACCGATATATACACATGCATGACATCATTCAGAATGAAGCCAGCACATACTGAGTGTACAAGTGTTGTTGTTATTTGCATCACAGGAAAAATTCATACAATAAACTTTGGAATGGAAAACACTACAAGGGAATTCTGATGTGGGTAGGGTGCCTCCCTGCTGAGCCCCAAACCACACCAAAGGGCAGGATCAGGCACAGAACTCGTCTCTGCCTGTAGAAGCCATGGAGCCCTGGGGTCTGGGGTCTCAGGAGCCATGGCCCAGCTGAGCCATCTGCTGCCTCCCCAAGAAGTCCCTGATGCACATGGCTGGGGGAGGGACGGTCTAGCACCGACAATCTCTGGGGTCCCCTCTGCCCCCAGGAGAGGCTCCCACTTGAGTGAATATGTCCAAGGAGAGTGTGGAGCAGGGACGTCCACTGGCTTAATGTGTGGCCTGTGGGGGGAGTCCCAACCCCTCTGGTTTTCTGGGTCCCCTGTAAAACGAGGGAGACCAGACCAGATCTTTTTAGGATTCCAGATCCCCTGCACCCTGAAGGACACAAGAACATCTGTGTATACTCGTGTACCCAGTTTTGGGGCCACTCAGAGGCCTTGGGGACACTGCCCTCCACCCTAGCATCCCAGGCCACGAAGCCCCGCCAGAGGACCCCAGGCCCACAGGGACCGGCCTCACCTTTCCAGAGTAAGCAAATAAAAGAGCCTTTAAATCTCTCCCCGCTAAATAGATATTACTTCCACAGGTTCAGAAAAAACTGTATTTATGGAAAGACATATAGTGAAAACTCTCCTTCCCACCCCATTCATTTATCCACCCCGCTCCCAGCTCCGGGTAAGCGCTAGTGTGATTTGAGGATGTGCTAAGATGCATGGAGACTACCCTCAAAAGAGGCCCTTTCAATGCAATCTGCTGGAAGCTTCAGGGAGCTCACAGACCCCTCAAAACAAAGCCCGATTCCACTTTAAAACTCCAGGAGAGACTCTGAACTGATGTTTGGGGCTGCCTGGTTCTAAGAAAGGAAATTAGCCTACACTGTGGCTAGATGAAAAATGCGTATCTGAAGGAAGTTCCTTTATGCACTGATGTGGAAAGATTTCTGAGATACATTGCTAATGAAAAAAACCAAGGTGCAGAACTGTATAAAATAGGCTGCCTTGTGTAAAAACGAAGGGAAAGATAAAAATAATCTCTAGTCATAGCTCCTTGAAGCATGAAAGAAACTGATATATAAGAAAATGCTAGCCAAAACCGGTTTGGCTCAGTGGATAGAGCGTCGGCTTGCAGACTGAAAGGTCCCAGGTTCGATTCCGGTCAAGGGCATGTACCTGGGTTGCGGGCACATCCCCAGTAGGAGATGTGCAGGAGGCAGCCGATCGATGTTTCTCTCTCATCGATGTTTCTAACTCTCTCTCTCCCTTCCTCTCTGTAAAAAATCAATAAAATATATATAAAAAAAGAAAATGCTAAGTCCTTGTTGGACATGGGGGGAGGAGAGGAACAGGGAAGAGGAGGGACAGGGGCCCCACAGCTGAAGAAGCTTGGGGTACAGGTCAGGTCAGGAAGGACGTGTGAGTGTCCTGGCTGAAGAGTGCAGTTTCTCTCCCGAACAGCTTCTCACTGTCCCGTGTGACACTCTGAGGCAGGCAGGTCTGTGCCCCACCAGCAGGTGATCTGTGACTGCATCGAGGCTGTGGACTATCTTTCAACTGTTTCTCTTTATATGTTCTAAGGTTTTATAAACAGTAAACAAAGCAATCATGGCCAACTTTGACTGAGCAGGTGCCAGCTCCTATGCCCCCTATGGGTTTTCATGGAATTCTTTTCTTTCTAAGACATTTTTATTGCTTTTTAGAGAAAGAGGGAGAGGGAAAGAAACTCATCAATGTGAGAGTGGAACATAGATCAAAGCGGAACATCAATCCGCTGCCTCCTGCATGACGCCCACCAAGGATGGAGCGCACAAGCTGGGCATGAGCCCTGACCTGGAATCAAACCGGCAACCTTTCAGTGCACAGGATGATGCCCATTGAGCCCCACCAGCGAGGGATCTCTTGGAATTCTTTTGATGACCTGTGAGCTGTCGGATTCCTCTCTGAGGTAGAAGCTCAGAGACAGAAAGTAGGAAGGTGGATGCTAAGTGCTGGCGGGAAGGGAGAATGAGGAGTTAGTGTTTAGGGGAACAGAGTTTCAGTTTGGGAAGAGGAAAAAGTTGTGGAGATGAACGGTAGTGATGGCTGTACAACAATGTCCATATAGCCCTGACCGGTTTGGCTCAGTGGATAGAGCGTTGGCCTGCGGACTCAAGGGTCCCGGGTTCGATTCCGGTCAAGGGCATGTACCTTGGTTGCGGGCACATCCCCAGCGGGGAGTGTGCAGGAGGCAGCTGATCGATGTTTCTCTCTCATTGATGTTTCTAGCTCTCTATCCCTTCTCCCTTCCTCTCTGTAAAAAATCAATAACATATATTTAAAAAAACAAAACAAAAAAACGATGTCAATATAATTAATGCCACTGAATGTTACATTTAGAAATAGTTAAAATGGTGCCGAAACCGGTTTGGCTCAGTGGATAGAGCGTCAGCCTGGGGACTGAAGGGTCACAGGTTCGATTCCGGTCAAGGGCATGTACCTGGGTTGCGGGCACATCCCCAGTAGGAGGTGTGCAGGAGGCGGCTGATCGATGTTTCTCTCCTATCGATGTTTCTAACTCTCTATCTCTCTCCCTTCCTCTGTAAAAAAATCAATAAAATATATTTAAAAAAAAAAAAAAAGAAATAGTTAAAATGGTAAGTTACATGTAACATGTATGTTGTGTCTGAATTGTGTCCCCCAAATCATATGTCAAGTCCTAACCCTCAGTACCTCAGTGACTGTATTTGCAGATAGGGACTCTAAAGGGGTGATTAAGGCTAAGTGAGGTCATAGGGTGGGCCCTAATCCAATAGGACTGGTGTCCTTAGGAGAAGGGGAGATTAGAAAAAGAATAAGAACAAGGTAAAAAAAGAAAAACAAAAAGGAAGAGGAGATTAGGACACAGGCACCCACAGAGGGAAGACCCTGTGAAGACCCCGCAAGGCAGACATCTACGAGCCAAGAAGAGACGCCCCAGGAGAAACCAGACATGCCCTTGGTCTCAGACTTCTGGCCTCCGGAGCTGTGAGAAATTCATTTCTGTTGTTTATGTCACCCAGTTAGTGCTATTTATTAGAGCAGCCGAGAATATTAATAATGTGGTATATTTTACCACATTAAAAAAATTCTATCATTAAGAAAAAAAAATACAGCTCCCACCAATATAGACATGATGGCCATCCTCAAGGATTCTTTCCTTTCATTTGCACTTTTTTCCATGAACAAAAGCAAACCATGCCCGGCCAGTGTAGCTCAGTGCTTGAGCACTGACCCGTCTACCAAGAGGTAGCTGGTTCGATTGCTGGGGTTTCGGGCTCGATCCCGATCAGGAGGCATGCAGGAGGCAGCCAATGGATGTTGATGCTTCTCTCTCATCGACGTTTCAATCTCCCTCTCTCTTCCTCTATCTAAAAGCAATAAAAACTATTAGAAGATAAAAAAGCAAACTGGCATCTGCTTACCTGAACAGGACACCTTTGATGACCTGCCAGGCGTTGGGTGCTGGCTGGGGTGGGTTCTGGGGCTGGGTCTCCGCTGGCAGGTCCCTCCCGATGCTGCCATTGCTGGTCACCTGCGGAGACAGAGACCAGGATAAGGAGGGAGAATGCAACCGGGCTCAGGGCGGAACACAGAGGGGCACCTGGTCCAGGGGTCAGGGAGAGCTTCCTGGAGGAGGGGACAGCAGCGCTGAGATCTAAAATACAAGGGGCCTGTGCAGAGGAGGCAATGAGGGAAGCAGCAGGGACAGAAACAAAGGTGGTGAGACACGTAGTCTGACTCTAAGGACTGGCCATCACTCCCAGGGGCCGGGGCCCAGGGAGCAGGGATGCGGAGGTGACCATGGGGAACAAAGCAGAAGGGGCCACTGGCCGATGCAAGTCCTGGGTTTATCTGAACGGTCCTTCCCTGAGCAAACAGTTCCTGGGGTCTCCACTGTGGCTGGCCCTGTACAGGGCCCATCCCTTCAGGAGCTCCGGAAACAGCAGGACAGACAGACAGAAAAAAACCACCAGGGCATGAGCCACACTGCTGTGAGCCACAACAAAGGTGAGGGCAACAAACACAGTGCACACCAGCCTGCGGGCAGAACCTCGAACATCTCCATGCGGGCGAATGGGGGCTTGGGGAGGCTGAGCACTTGTCGGTGTCACAGGCCGGACAGCAGCAGGAGGAGGGAGGGTGGGCAGGCCAGCGAGTCAGGCAGGGCTTCCCAAAGGGAGAATCTGCCCTCCGAATGAGAAGCTCAGAAGCAGAGAATTTCATGTCAGGTTTGGAAACGCCCAGAAATTCTTCCCAGGCCTGCCCACTTCCTTCCTCCTGGCTACGCCCCCTCAGCCCCCAGCCTTCAAGAGGTAGGACTAGGACTGTCAAGGTCACCGTCAGGTGGAAGCATTACCCAGCCCCCGGCCAGCAGAGCAGGGGCTCAATAAATACCTGTGGAGTCAACAAGCTCCCTGAAGGGCTTTCCCCCAGCACCCAGGCCACCCAAATGCCCTCCTCCGGGGCCCCCACTGCCCCCAGCCCACTCCTCTGCAATGTCTTCTTCTCTCAGCCCTGAAAGCCCGGGGGAGCAGAGACAGAGGCCCCCTGGCCAGATGGGGCTGCCAGGGAGCTGAGGCCAGTGTTTGTTAAAGGTGTCCTTTGTCACTCCCTGTCCCTTTACCAGCAAGTACTTTTCTCTGTTGTCTCCCAAAGTGCAGGACAGCACCGTGGTGACAGGTGGTCACAGACCCAGGCTGCAGGCCTTGCCCCATCATTCCTGGCCGTGAGATCTTGGACACATCACTTCCCTTCTCTGACCCTTCCCATCTCTGACCCAAGGGCCAGATTGTGAAAACGCAGGTGTATTTTGTTCAGAAAAGATTTCCTTCGTGTGTTGGAAAAATATTTCCTGAGCACTCACTGTGCGCCAGGCCCTGTGCTAGGTGGTGGGACTGGTGGTGGCCACACAGCTCTGGCCCTGCTCTCCCAGAGTTCAGGATCTAGAGCAGTGGTTCTCAACCTTCCTAACGCCGTGACCCTTTAATGCAGTTCCTCATGTTGGGGTGACCCCCAATTTCATTGTTACAAACTGAACATAATTAAAGCATAGTGATTAATCACAAAAACAATATGCAATTATATGTGTTTTCCGATGGTCTTAGGCGATCCCTGTGAAAGGGTCGTTCGACCCCCAAAGGGCTGAGAACCGCTGATCTAGATGGAAACACACCTACAGAACAGTAAACAGGATAATTAAAAATGGTAAACAGGAAAAGTGCTCTGGAGGAAATAACAGGAGATGAAGATAACCCCTGGATTGGGGGGTCAGGGAGGCCTCCCCGAGGAGCTGTCTTTGACATTTGGGTGAAGGGTGTGCTGGGGAGAGGGAACGGTTCAGCGAAGGGGTTGGCCAGGAGACAGGGAGATTAGACAGGCACAGCCCTCGTTCAGGAGCACTGGGGGCCAAGTAAGGGCTTCTAGCAGGTCTGAGCTGATTCTGGGTCAAGAAACGGAAGCTTGAGGCCAGGCCAGAACTTGAACCCACATCTGGCTGGCTGCCAGGTCTGTTCTCCTACCCGCAATAGTGGACAAGTGGGCTGGACACCTTCCCATGGAAATGCAAATGAAAACCGCAATGAGATGTCTGTGCACTAGGATGGCCAGCATCAGAAAGAGGGCCAGCCACAAGTGCAGGTGAGGGTGCGGAGGCATCGGAACGCTGGACACTGCTGGTGGGAACAATGACGCTGCTGCTTGGAAAAACAAGGTCGATGCTTAAAAAGTGAACATTGTACCTGCAAACAAGCCAGCGATCCCACTCCTGGGTCTCTACCCAAGAGAAATGAGAGCGTAGGTCCACGAGAAAGCTTATACGCAAATGTCCATAGCAGCATTACTCATAATAGCTAGAAGTTACCCAAACGTCCTTCAATGAATGGAACGGATGTATTTGCACAATGGAATAGTACTCAGCAACAAAAAGGAACACTGCTAGGGGCAGGGAGTGACTGCAAAAGGAACAGGTTCTGAGGGGATAGTGTTCTCAGACTGGACTGTGACGATGCTTGTACCTCACAACTGCACGCATGCACTAAAAGCCACCGGTCTATACTGACAGCAGGTGAACGGTACAGTGTCTAAATTACACCTCAATAGAAAGGTAACTCTTGCCCTGGCCAGTGTGGCTCATTTGGCTGGAGCATCTTCCCCTACACCAAAAGGTGGCAGGTTCGATTCCCAGTCAAAGCACATACCCAGATACCCAGATTCTGGGCTCTCTCTCTCCACCTTCCTCTCTCCAAAAAGCAATTAAAAAAATAAAATTTAAAAAAAAAAGAGGTAACTCTCCAGTGGCTTCCACTTCCCTCAGAGTGAAGGCAAAATCCTCACCATGCTCCCCAAGGGCCTGATCTGGCTCCCTCCCTGCTCTCTGCTCTCCCCCAGCTCCCCTCAGTCACCAGCTCCAGCCACACCAGCCTCCTCACTGTTCCCTCCTCACACCAGGCACCTCCCGACTCAGGGCCTTTGCACCGGCTGCTCCCTTTACCTGGAAGGCTTTCCCCCCATGTATCTACATGCCTCCCTTCTTCAAGTCTGTTCAAATGTCACCTTCTAGCAAGGCCTTCCCTGCTTAAATGACAACCCCCCTCACTTCCTATCCCCTTCCCAGCCTTATTCCTGTCCATGGCACTTATTACATCTGATCCACTATACATTTTCCTATTTATCTTAGAACAGTCCCGTCTGTTCTTCTACCCCCACCCCGAAGCCCTCAAATAGAACATGGGCTCCAAGAGGGCAGGGCCTCTGTTCTGTTCGCAGCTGTATCTCCAGCATTGGCATGGATCAGAGCCTGTAGTGGGGACAGATTACACATTAACTGAAGGGATGAATGCTGGGTCTGTGGGTCCTGTGCCTCAGCCCCCGCCTGAAGGAGGAGCAGGCTGGCTGGAGCATGAGACTGCCAAGGCCCGTCTAGACCCCACAGGCCAGGAGAGGGTGGTGGCGGCTGCGGACACAGCACAGCTCCTCCTCTTGGATCCACATGTCCAATCTCACACACGATCTCCAGGAACACGCACCAAGGGGCCCAGGAAGCAGCTAAAACCAGAGGCTGGGCCAGAGGCTTCCGGCACATCCTCACCGAACACCTGGATCCACCGTGGGCATTCCACCTCAGCTTAGCCTCTGCCTCAAGGTCCATTCATTCCACCAACACTGAGCACCTGACCTGTGCCAAGCCCTCAGCTGGGCGGTGCTGGGGACACAGTGATGACCAAGACAGTCCCAGTTCTGTCCTCCTGCAGCTCCTGTCAGCGGAGGAGACAGATGGACAGTGACAACCCAGTGTGGGCAGTGCTGGGGAAAGGAGAGGCCCAGGGGGCTGTGGAGCCCTGACCCAGTCTGAGGGTCAGAGAGGGCTTCCCAGGGGAGAGAATGTCTGAGATGTACAGGACTCGTAAGGATCAACCAAGTAAGAAGGGAGAAACCTACGCACAGGCTATGAGGGGGGACAGCTGGCACCCACCCGAAAGAAAAGCCCTCAGCCGGCTGATGCTCCTCTCATCCAGCGGCTCTCCAGCAGGGACATTCAGCAATGTCTGCAGGCATTTTTGGTTCTCACCACTGGGGAGTGACGTATACGCTACCGATACCTAGTGTGTAGAGGCCAAAGATGCTGCTAAATACCCTACTGCGCACAGGACAGTCCCCCACCGTGAAGAATTCTCCAACCCCAAATGTCAGTAAGTGCTGCGGTTGAGCCATCCTCAGCCTGAAGGGAGTCATGACCGTGCAGCGCTTGATCTGCTAGAGAACGTGTCCTTTATCCTGAAAGCCAAGGAATGCCTGGAGAGGTTTAAGCAGAGGTAGGACAAGAGAAGACTAGGGGCTGTGGAAACTCGCAGCAATCAGGGCACCCTGAGCCCTAGTCTCTCCCATCACCGCCCCCCACCCCCCAACACACACACACATTCAGTAATCAACAGAAACTCCAAGGGAGAAAGACCTTCCAGCAAGACTGAGCAGCCCCTGAAGGCAGGGACTGAGTCTCCCTTCCAGAGCTAATTCAGCAAACATTTCCTGAGGCCACCCCCCGGGCCAGGGCCTGGTTGAAGATGCTAAACAAGGTGCGTCTTGTCTTGCTCTAGCCCACGAATCTCATCCTGGCGTTCCAGGTGATATTATTTGCCCCTCCTCTTGGCTCCCTCAGTCCCTGGCATAGACTTCTATCCTTACCCTCGTCACCCAGCGTTATAATTCTTTACACGTCAGTCTTCTCTCCCGCTCCACCGATGGCAGGGGCACAGGTGTGGCCACCTTTGTGGCCCATCACACGGCTGGCCCTCCTACCCAGCCCTTCCACTTACCGCTGCAGAAATGAGGGCCCAGAGAGAGAGGAACTAGCACAAGGTCACAGAGAAAGTCGGCTTCACTCTCCCCTCCCAACCTGAGCTCCTCTCCCGTGTGCTGCTCCCACTCGGTGACATCCGGGTGGGTGGGAGTGGGTTCCCGAAACGCCGGCAGGGTGGCTGCCTGAACTCAGCAGGTTCTGCAGCCTCGGCTGAGCTGTGGCGGGGAAGGTCAGAAACCACCCGCCCCTGGGCTAACTCCCCCACTGGGTGAGTTTGTGATCAAAGCCCGGCCACTCCAGTGCTGACCACGCTGGGTTAGCAGCGGCTGCCTAACTGCTCCACGGGAGGAAGCCCAGCCCGACCCGGCTGACATTCTGCAAGCGCCTCGCTCTCGCTGTTCCTTGGGTTCCCACCTGTGAAATGGGTCTGTCAGTGTCTCCACAGCCTGTGCCCTGACCCAGGACGACTGCCTGACTCCCCCCCAGAGATACAACACTCCCAGTTAACCAGCCACCGTCCACAGGTCAGGCACTGGAAGGGAGACCCCGGATGCCAGACCACTCTGCGAACGGACGTGGAGCCTGGAATCAGGAGTCGAGAACCGAGGGAGCCTGGGTACAAGACTATGTCCCGCCGCGCCACTGTCTCCAGCTCGAGCAATGAGCTTGGTGGCCGCTCGGCGCGAGCATGCAGGGAGCCCGGCGCGCA